GGTAACCTAGTCACTTGGCTGAGTAAAAAACAAAATGTGGTTGCTCGGTCTAGTCTAGTGTAGAAGCAGAGTATCGATGAATGGCTCAAGGAGTTTGTGAATTATTGTGGATTAGAGGACTCTTGACAGAATTGAGTTTTAAACTAGAGAAGCTAACGGAGTTATATTGTGATAACAAGTCAGCTATCGATATTGCTCATAATCGAGTTCCACATGATCGAACTAAACTTGCTGAGGTGGATAGACATTTCATCAAAGAAAAAATTGAGAACAAGATCATCTGTCTACCCTTCATAAAATCAAAAGATCAATTAGCGGATGTCTTAACAAAAGCTGTCTGTGGACGAGTGTTTTATGACTCACTAACCAAGTTGAGCCATGATGATGTGTATGCACCAACTTAAGGAGGAGTGTTGACGTGAATTAACCTATTAAATCAAGGAGATTTATTTCCTAAGTTAATTAGGTGATTTACTTCCTTGTTTTATATAGTCGACACATCCTTATATAATTAGGAGATATTCTCCTAATTAATTACTGTATCTATTTCCTTGTAAAGCACCCTTGTAAACTCCTATATATCTCCTTATGGAGAAGAATACAATTAACCTAAAGTATTCAAACCAAATATTATATCTTAGCAAAAAAGACCTTAGTTCCATTGTAATTCTGGGCTTGCCTTTATTTTATTAGGCTTCAAGTTGTTCCTGTCTTTGGCTTTTTCCACTTTTCAGCTAATTTTATTTTCATAAATGCAGATCTTCTAGACAGTTAATGGGACTTGCTGGTTTAAACTATGCCTCTGCTACACTTAGCACAGCCATGCTTAATCTTGTTCCAGCCTTTACATTCATACTTGCATTACTATTCAGGTTTCTAATTTCCGTCAGTTTGTGTTTTTGTTACTTTTCAACGTCAGGCTTTTTCTTTTGTTAAAATCATGATTTTTTTTTTCTTCTTCCAACTCACCATAGATATTGACTAAAGCCACTTTTAATTATTTGTCAAGCAAGTCTCACGATTACTTGTATTTTACTGTTTAATTAGGATGGAAAAGCTAAATTGCTAAGACTATAGGAACTGTGGTGTCAATTACTGGGGCCTTTGTAGTGACCATCTTCAAGGACTCAGTGCTGTCATTTCATGTGTTTGATGTATATGCATTTATGTATGTTAAGCATTTTAGAATCAGTGCTGTCATTTCATTAAAATTGAAAACAATTAATGGCTTAGAAAAAAAGGGAGACCAATGTCATTTCATTTATCTGCAAACATGGGTTATTAGGGACTACCCTGCAGTGTTAATGGTAAGAACAATTCGCGGCATCTTTGTCATCATCCAATCTGCTGCAATTTCTCTGATTGATGTCGAAGGACTAAATGCATGGAAGCTAAAGTCTGATATTAAGCTCATAGCTATTGGGTACAATTTGAGGAAAGATCTTTTTCAACATTATTGGGTTAATTTTCTTTTGATTTTCAACCAAACTTTATGTGCTGCTTAATTGATTTCTAGAGGCAGCTTTTGAAGTAATGATAAGGACTGGTATTCACTTGTGGGCATTGAATATAAAGGGTCCTGTTTATGTTGCCATGTTCAAGCCACTTGGTTTGGTCATCGCACGTTTTGTTGGCGTGGCATTTCTTGGAAGGTTAATGTTATCTTTTATAACACTCTTTATATTGGTTGCAATGATATAAATTATAGCTTATGTTTCAATCTATTTCAACAGTGGTAGGGTTTTATGCTGTAATTTGGGGGAAAACCCAAGAAGCGAAGTAGGAGGCTAAAAATGATCAAACCGGAAGCTAGGAGTTGGAGTCATTTTCTCAAACAGAACCTCTTTTGCTTAAAGAACGAGAAAGACTTTCTTGAAACGAGGATAGCACCAATAATGCTATGACACGAGTGATAACACTTTCACGTGACATAATATTATTGGCTGGAATAGCAAAATAGGCATCTTGCTAAATTTATTATCGGCTTAAAATATTGTATGACAACCAGTGGGGTCATCTTTCAAAATATTGCTATCGACAAAGACAAATGTATAGATTCCTTAAAAAAAAAATATTTGTTGTCCATATTACATGATACCTCAAATAATACTAGAAACAGCAATTGATGTTGAAGAATTTCACTTGTTTCACATATGGGCTCATTCATGACTTTATTTATTCACAATAATTAAGAAATTTTCACATGAATTAGTAACGGGATCAGATAAAAAAAAAATTAGTTGGGCCATTGGCCTTTACCTCCGTAAACATATACAGGGCATGAAGCAAGCAAAGCAAGCAAAGCAAGCAAGCAACCCCATGAGGTGGGTGGGTGCCTGTGGGCCAAGATATTTAGCGTAGGGAGTAGAGAGGGAGAAACGTGTACCTGCGTGAATGGAAGTATAAAATCTTGCATACATAGTTTCTGTTTTAAACATCTAATCGTTGACGATTGGACATGAAAATTTAACACATTTGCATTATTTCTGCATAACAACAGATTTTTCCAAGATAGAATTCTTGCATCAGATGTCACTCGCATTTATTGGGCCTGAAAAATCAATCCTTGACTAATTTAATGCCAGAAAAGTAGACCATTCTCGGCTTCAGTTTCATGCTTCCACCTTTGTGGCTTTGACTCTTACCAGTATAATTCCTGGAGAGAGAGAGAGAGAGAGAGAGAGATTTGGATATGGGGATGTGGATTTCAATGCCCTTTCTGGGAATGGTGATGGTGATTTTTGCTCAGGTGACTAGTTTGATACTAAACAAGGAAGCCATGTCCAGCGGACTGAGTGAATATGTTCTGGCTGTCTACTCTTTTGCTATAGCCGCTCTCATTGTTCTCCCTTTTTCCTTCTTCTTCAACAGGTCTCTGCCTTTTCTCTCTGTTTCTCTTTCTCTCTGTTTAAGTTGATTTACTTACTTGTCTCTTCATTTGATGGCAGATCAGAGCGTCCCCCACTCACCTTCTCCATCATCTCGAGATTATTCTTACTCAGCCTTATTGGGTTTGTCAAAAAGACCTTAGTTGAAAGTTGAAAGTTGAAAGTTGTTCTTGTCTTTGGCTTTTTCCAGTTCTCAGCTAATTTTATTTTCATATAAACAGATCTTCTGGACTGTTGATGGGACTTGCTGGTTTAAACTATGCCTCTGCTACACTTAACACAGCCATGCTTAATCTCATTCCAGCCTTTACATTCATACTTGCCGTACTTTTCAGGTTTTTAATTTCCACAGTCTCTGTTTTTCTTACTATTCAATGTCAGTCGTTTTCTTCTGTTCAAATCAGGACTTGAAAAGAATGTATTTTCTAAAGCCACTTTTAATTATTTGTGGAGTCTCATGATTACTTGTATTTTACTGTTTAATTAGGATGGAAAAGCTTAATTGGAGGAGCTCAAGCAGCCAAGCTAAAATTATAGGAACTGTAGTGTCAATTACAGGGGCATTTGTTGTGACCTTCTACAAGGGCCCTGCAGTCGTACACGCACGCTTGTCCTCTGCTGGGACTGGTCTATTCAGTAATCTATCTCTCTTCTCAGAAAAATCACATTGGGTAATTGGAGGGCTACTTCTAGCAGCTGACTCCTTCGCGACCTCATTATGGTTTATTGTGCAGGTGATGAACTTTTGTACAAGAAGTTCTAGCTGATATAACACCCACTTACCTCTAGTACAAATTCATATGATATGACGATTCTTTTTTCCGTCTTTTCTTTCTCTTTAACCTTGAATTTTTGCAGGCCTCAATTCTTAAGAAGTACCCTGCAGTGCTGATCACAGTCTTCTTTTACTGCTTCTTTATCTGCATACAATGTGCATTAGTCTCACTGATACTTGTACAAGACCTAAGTGCTTGGAGGTTAAAACCTAATATTGGATTGCTTGCAGTTTTATACTATGTGAGCAACTATGCATATAATTGTCATATCATATTGTTAGTGGATTAATTAATTTAAGTTATACATAATTTGTTAGTTAACATGAGGTATAATTTGCAACATGTAGGGGATTGTTGGGATTTCATTTCGTACCAACGTGTGTACATGGTGCCTGCAGAGAACAGGACCTGTGTATGTTTCTATGTTCAAGCCCCTTGCCGTGGTTTTCGCAGATGTCATCGATGTAATTTTTCTGGGACAAGCTCTCTATCTTGGAAGGTATAATATAGATATACGTACTAGCAGATGAAGATGCAGCTTTTCACTTCTACTAATTAGTGTATATCTTCCTTTTTTATTTCCGTGGTACAGAAGAAGTAATCAAAATTTTACTGCAGCTTGATTGGAGCAGCTGTAATTATCTCTGGTCTTTATGTTGTGATATGGGGAAAGGCCAGAGAAGAGAAGTTGCATGAAAACAGTGGAGAGCAGAATTGCTTAGAATCATCCACTGAAAGGGTCCCCCTGCTGTAAAATGTGACACAGAATTGCCTTGTATAAATATTATGGTCTTAATGTGTTCAATATAGAATCTGTGCTGCCATTTCATTAAAAATTGAAAACAAGAAATGGCAGATAAAAAAAGTGAGGTCAATGTCATTTCTTTATCTGATTTTTTATCTGCAGACATGGGTTATTAGGGACGACCCTGCAGTGTTAATGGTAACAACAATTCGCAGCATCTTTGTCACCATCCAATCTGTTGCAATTTCTCAGATTGCTGTCAAAGGACTAAATGCATGGAAACTAAAGCCTGATATTGAGTTCATGGCTATTGGGTATAATGTGAGGGAAGATCTGTTTCAACATTATTGGCTTAATTTTCTTTCGATTTTCAACCAAAACTTTATGTTCTGCTTAATTGATTACTAGAGGCAGCTTTTGAAGTAATGCTGAGGACTGGTATTCATTTGTTGGCATTGAATATAAAAGGTCCAGTCTATGTTGCCATGTTTAAGCCACTTGGGCTAGTCATGCCACTTTTCTTTGGCGTGCCATTTCTTGGAGATACTCTGCTATCTGCAATAACCATATGTTTTATTCACCGACCCAAAAGAAAAAAAAGAAAAAAAAGAAAAAAAAGAGAAGGTGTTATTGGTTGCAAGGATATAAATTAGAGTTTTTCTATTTAAACCCCACACTTTTCTTTGTTCACCCCAATACTAATAAGCTCTTAAATTTTATTATTGTGTAAAAAGACAAAAAAGGTCATCCAACTTAATACTTAAGATAGTATATCTATACACACACCCCCACACACCCCACCACTCTTCATATTGGCACATCACCAGTGGCGGA